CTTGTTTCAGATTGACTAGTTCGCCCAATGGGTTGCTGTGGGCAGGTGGTCCGAAACGAAGAGTGCAATATTTCTTAAACCCTATCCAATTAATGGAAGGATTCTCGATCTCCAATTGATGGTACCACAATTGTGCCTCACCCAGCATGTGGAATGCAGCCAATTCCACCTTGTCCGCCTCTTGTGTATGCTGGTTGAGAAAATTTTTCACACCGATGCAGCCAAATCAATGGATCTTCAGAAACCGTCGAAGGTCGGAAAATCCAGTTTGGTATTACCGAGGAACCATCCCGCTGCCTGATTGTACTCCTTTCGCAGGAGGCTGGATGTTGTTACTTGCTGTCCCATCAAAGTCGTTGCTTGTACTGCGATTAAATCCAGAAAGAAGCTCCTGCATCTGGAGCGACAGTTGCTGCATCTGGCTACCCAGCCGCCTTTTCCACTTCAGCAACCCTAGCATCGTTCGCAGCTTGCGCCTCTTGCAGCAGGGATCGCAAATCTTCATTCTTGCTAGAATCGCCCATTGTGTTGGCTCTGATACCAATTTGTTATGGTCCGTAATAAGGATCGTGTCACAGGGCGATTGATAGGAAAATCCAAGTCAATTGTCGTTCCCTTTTTCCTTCCCTTACTCTGAATCCTTGAACGACCTATTTTTAAATAACTCAAGCTGTCGAAGGAGCTTGAAACCTTAGAACTCGTTGTAAGAGAGAGCTCTAGATCTCTATAATTTTTGATATAAATCGGCTTAGGGTTTTTATTCCTCTCCTCCCTTTAAATAGGGCGAGTCTTAATACAATAATAGGAAACCTATATTTAGATTTCTTTCCATACTAAATACATAAATAAATCTATTCTGAAACAAATCAACATAAAATAGGAAAGATCTATTCTAGGAAACAAATCAACATAAAAATAGAAAACCTAAGCCTTTTTAATGCTGGACATCAATTAGGGCGTTTATTATAGACACGTCCCAACAAAAGAGTCCATAAACATCAAACCAAGTGTCAAACCCCATCTGACTCCAACTAAGAGGGTGGGAAGGATAGAACTTTTAGCAATATTAGATTTCATCTTTTATTATCATTTTCAGCTGTAGTTCTTCAAAATATGTGTTTATATGTAAACTATACCTGTGCCTTGTTGTTAACAAAAGTCTTAGTTGAATTGAATACTTCTGTTGGAGCTGCATTGTGATAATTGTCTCATTAGAAACTTAGGAGTGCCAGGTTGATGACGAACTAGGTTTTTTTTACAAATTATATATATTTTTGGCAATATGATATTTGTTTGTGGGCACACCTTTCTTGGTGTTCAATGGCAGTCTACAATTGCTCTTCCTACTAAATATAGCTATCTGTAGTTTTAGTTTTCTATGGTGCTTAGCTGGAACCAAATGGGTAAAATATTGTTTTTGTTGCCCTTATATCTAGAGACTTTTTTTGGTCCTTGTATATGATGGTTTTTGTCTGTTCTAGATTTTCAGAATATTTTATTCTTTCTCATATTTAAAATTTCTAAGTTTTTGTCAGCTTTGTCCTCCAAACAGGTTGTGGAGGTCTCCACTTCAAAAACTGGCAAACATGGACATGCAAAGTGCCACTTTGTAGGAATTGACATATTTAATGGCAAGAAGCTTGAAGATATTGTTCCTTCATCCCACAACTGTGATGTAATATAAAGAAATGATTTGTTATTAGTTCAGCTATTTTATTGCATTGCTTCTGTTTTTATGGTAGTCTTTAGTCCTTGCATGACCTTAACTCTGACCTTAGTTTGCATTTTACAGTTTTGACATTAATTTTGAACTTTTGGTCTATATCTAATATGTTTGTCCTTTTTATCCACAGGTTCCCCATGTTAATCGAACTGACTATCAGCTGATTGATATCTCTGAAGATGGTTTTGTAAGTTACCTTTGTGACTTAACGGCAAAGATGGTTCATGGGCAGATATTGTGTGTTAAAAATGTTGCTCATTTTAATTATGGTCTATAGGACAATATTTTGTTTATTTATATATTTTTTGTCCAAAAGTGGATCCTTGTGGACGAGGTTCTATGTGGAAAACCTGTGTCCTATACACAGTTTTGATTGCCTAGAAAGAAAAATCTGGAGTTGCTATGTTACCTGAAGGGGAGTAATTTCTTGCATACTTTGGTTTTGGCATACACAATCTAATTCCTAGTGTCAACTCGTAAATCTCCTGCGTCCACATGGTACCATAATTGAACTTACCAGTTCAAACATAGTCTTTGTCTACTTAATTTGGCACTTCTTCTAGGTGAGTCTTTTGACTGAGAACGGAAACACCAAGGATGACCTCAGGCTCCCCACCGATGAAAATCTGCTTGCCCAGGTATATGACATAGAATCAGAATTGTTTGGATTCTTCATCTGTTATGTTCCTATTTAGAATACAATCACTTCTTCAACTGTGCTCATAACTAGAATAGAATAAACTTCTTCCTTTACTCTGTTCATTACTAGGATAGACTGATCTTATCTCTCTATCTCCCCCCTTAATTTCTGCCATGTGTAGATTAAAGATGGGTTTGCTGAAGGAAAGGACCTTGTGGTTACTGTCATGTCTGCAATGGAGAAGAGCAGATCTGTGCCCTTAAAGACATTGGTCCTAAAAAACTAAATATGGCTATAATAGTAGCCTTGTTTATAGGAAGAATTGGAAAACTCCTGTTTTTCTGAGAAAGAAAACTAGTGACTTTTATGTGGGTGTGCAATAACGTTGTACTGTTATCCTTTTCTTTCTAAGACCTGTTATGACGCTTCTGAAAGGGGAAAAGGAAAGAAGGCACTCGCCTCTTGATTGCCCACAAGGAGGAAGATGGTATTTATATAGACAGTGTTCTTACACCTCTCTCTGTTATGTTTATTTGGCATCATACAAAAACTTATTTGCTATTTCTATGGGTGCTATTGGTACCGCTTTTAGACTTACGTTTTCGGTTTTTCAATTTGAACTCCAGAAAATTTGAAAAACAATTCGGTTATGGCACTTTGGGGTTGCTCATGTATTTTTTGTTATTTTATTTTAGATGGACTGGATTTCTATTTCTAGGACCCAAAAGATTTCATAGGTTATGACTTGGAAAAAAAAACCCTGTTTTTTTTTTTTTTTTTTTGGGGGGGGGGGAGAAAGAAGCGGAATGAGAATCTTGAAATTCTTCGGTTTATCTCTGCCTCGTTTGGTTAATGAATTTGAAACTTCTCCCTCTCTGTCATGCGCTTAAATTAGCTTTCGTTGTTTCGTCTGAAAATAAGCTTATTTTGTATAACGTCAACGATCAGTAGACCATAAATCAATTGCAAACTGTTAGAAAATCTGGTTGGAGGAAGATCTATTTTCTGAGGGTTTGATGTAACTTTATTCTTTACTTCCAAATTAATCAAATCTCTCCGACATGATTTTGTTTTTTTTCTTTTTTTTAAAAAAACTAAGTGCTAAAGCCTAGGAGGAGAAGCAAAGAAACTGAACTAAGTCCCATGATACAAGAATTTTTTGTCATTAAAAAGTTCTTATTTAAGAATCTTGTTTGATAAATTGGATAGAATAAGAATTAAATTGGGATAAAATATCTGTAATGAATAGTGTTTTGGATTATATCTAGTTTGGCATGTTTTAATTTAAATTTAAATAAAATATTAGATAATTATGAAAATTATCAAAATAATATTTTGTTATAAATAAGTATATTTTAATAATTTGAATTGTAAATAATAGGTGCATTATCGTTTAACTAATTTGAATAAGAGTTTAATAAAATTATTTTACTCTAATAACATGGTTTATGCATTTTTTATAGAATAACTATTTATATCTAGATTTTATTCAAAAATTTTATCTGATTTATCGAATGTCATGTAAAGAAATAACTTTTCTTATGGGTTTTAGTTAATCCACTGAATATACTTAAATAAACTAAATAATAGAATTATTTAAAACAATAATTTAGGTATATCACTCCTCAAACTCATGTTATATATATTTAGTAAAAGTAATTATCCCAAAAGTTAGTTAGACTTTTTAACCTTTACCTCAAACAAATTATATTAAGAAATTTTTTGATATTAGGGCATTCTAAATAAATTAGGATGGAGGTGGAATCTTTGCTTTCCCAAGCCGAATAGACTTTCAACTTGCCAAACATACATAAATAGTTTTAGTTATGTTCCATTTTTTTCTCTATGTTACATTAAATGAATACTTTTAAACATATAAAATTGTAGGCATCTTAAAAGAATTTTTCTTTTAGTTTTTGGGAATATTATTATGATAAGAGAAAAAAAATTTAAATTTAAATTCAAAATCAAATTTGTCACCATATTAACATAATAGGAGCCTAATGGCCACACTTTGTCTCACAGTTTCAAGTTAAAAAGTGGTCAGCAGGTCTGTGTCAGCAGCAAGCACGCTGACGCCGTTAAAAGAATCACAATTAAAGTTAAAACGTCAAATCAACTACTAAAGTCCCTGGGAAGGAAAGTAGCCCTGATCCCCAGGCAGGGAGGACTCCAACCCGTACCCTATGTAACGGACCGGTCCGGTCCGGTCAACAACGCTCTCGGAAATGTTTCTTCAAAATCCTCCTCAACCACCGTCAAAACTAGTCAACACCGAACCCTTTTTTATTCCATAAAACAAAAATAAATATAATTTTTATAACTCTGACATATAGAATAAAAATATTTTTTAATATAAAAAATCACAATTTTAATATTAAATATATCCATATATTCTGATTTTATAATATTTTTATTTATTTAAAAAAAGATTAATTGATATAAATATAAATTTAAAATATTTACGTCAAAACTTTACAATTGATTTGATTAAAATTAACAGATAAAATTAATTATAATTGTCTTTAACAATTAATTTACAATTATCTATTTTTTAAATATTAATTAATCTCATCTATTTATTTTGACCAAATCAAATGTGTAAAATTTGATTTAAATTTTTTTATACTTATATCAGTATTAATTGATTATATTTCTTATTCTAATTAGATGTTATATGTTTATTAACACGAAATTAATAAAGAAGTTCGTAAATTATTATTTGATTTTAGACATAATATTTAATTTTAGACATAATATTTAATTTTTACTAACATAAATAATTATTATGGACTAAAACTTAAACTTTTTTGAACTCTATTCTTTTAAATTATTAAAATAAATTATTTTTGTTTGATTTTTCTTCTAAGCATACTTTTTTTTATGATATTAGCAGAATAATTATACAAAATTTTTTATTGACATTAATTATGTTTATTCTTTGTAATTCCACTTTAATCTTATTCTTTCTCGTATATTTTTAAATTAGTTTTATTTTATTTTTTATATTTTGACCCTAATTTATAATGTTGTATTTTTAAATTTTAAAAAATAAAGTGATATTGAAAAAAATGTACGGAGCGCGTGAGATTAAAACCAAGAAGAATTTCAAACCAATTTTTCCACGTAGATAAGAGTTGGCACGGTTCTCTACTCACACGAGTCAGACCAACTCGATTAAATTAATTGTTAATACAAAACGCAAAATTAAACATATAGCAAAAACCGTTCGAAAACCCTTCCCTTCTCTTCCCCAGCTCGAATCAGCCATGGATGAGAGCAAGCGGGGCTTCGAAGCTCCCGGGGAGTCGAGGCCGAGTGAAGACGAAGAAGGAGGAGAAGGCATAGAAGACGACGACGAAGACGACGAAGAAGAATTGGAGGAAGGTGTGGATGATGAAGAGGATGAAGATGATGGTGGTAGTGAAGGTGGTGGTGAACAGAGCACGGGACTCAGAAAAGGAAAGTTGGGCGGTGCTCGATCGGAAACCCTAGCTGCGGCTCCGTCGTCACTCCAATTGTCGAAGAGTGATATTCCTCGCGACTTCGCTCTGTCCTCTCACCTACTTTCTGGTAGAAGTACTAATCTCTCTCTCTATACGTATGTGTTTATAATACTCGCACGTAGTATGTGACTCTGGAGCTAATACTTTATGGAAAATGATCTGATAGAGGTGCCGGTGGATTACGCTCTTCTACGGCCTCTGGAGACAGCTGAATTCAAGGTTATTAACGAAGTCACTCTTCCAATGAATTTTTAGATGTTCATTTCTGAAATCTTATGATTGATGCATCTGTAGTTTTAATTTCATTTCTTTTGCATCAGTAAAGTGTGAATACACATACGCGCGCGCACACATATATTCTTTAAATGAAGATGAACCTGTTATTGGGAATTTGGCATCGATCAAAATTTTGAATTGGTCTTATGGCGCCTTGCGCGAAATGGCGTCTGTTTAAGTAGCAAGATTGGTTCTCTTGAATTATCTGTACCTTTCCACGTTTTTCTCTTTTTACTTCGGAGTCCTGAGCTCTGATTGATTTAGTGCCGTTCTGCTTGTGTAGAAATTTCTGCTTCTAGTTGTTAGCAAAACACACACAGTATCAGAGTACTGGCTAGTCGATTGCCATCCTGAGGTGTTGAAAAAAGGCAGAAATTCTTAAGTGATTCGATTCATGAGGGCTTTTGCTGAAGTACTAACTGGGAAGAAGTCCTTCTATCAACATTCTGAAATCATTGAATCGCTAGAAACTGTACCATTTGCGAGTTGGGAGACAAGGATAGGATGCATATCAGTTAGTGGGAGTAGAATCTCTGGAAAAAAGAAAAAAAACCAAATTAGTTACAATTTCTTTGGGATTGTAATTTTAACTGTAAAGTTAGGAAAGCAATGAGTGAAATTTTAGTTAGCAATGTCCCACATCGCATGTAAGTGACAATCCCTTTTCTAAATTGGGACTCAATACTTGCTGGTTTTGTTGTTAACCCTTGTGAAGCGGGGAGCCTTGTGGGATTGCCAGGACATTTTTCTTTATTTTTTGTTAGATTGGTACCCAGATTATTTCATGATTCCAAAAAATAGGCAAAAGGTAAGTTGAATGAATGTGATCTTTGTTCTGCGTTGCAGTTTTAGTGATATAGATGCTACACGAATGACAAATGAATGCACCAACTACGAACTTTGTTCCTACTAAATTGGACATGATTTATCCAACATTATATACAAAAATGAAGGAAGTGGTGTTAATATTCAAAGCATGATAATAAAATCTGATGAAGGACTGGGCATATGTTGTAAATTTAGATTTTTTATTTTTAAACTTAAGAATCCACTATTTATTTCTTCAGCTTCAACTTGGGGAAGGTGGCTGATCATGACCTTATGAGTAAACTCTTTCTTATCTTTGGAATGAATGTTGAAGTTGGGATATAACTTGCTCTATGTTTCTGATTGCCTTTATTGCTTTGAAATATTGAGGATTTTGTGTATTGGAGTGTTTCTGTGTTTCACCTTCTGGAGGTTGCCACTGCATATGTTATGCCATATTTACCATGTTTAGTTTCCTTATTTACAAACAGAATACATGCAATTATTTTAGGAACACTGGTATTCTGTCTTCTAGTAATCTTGGGACCAAACTGAATTCTTTATATGACTAGGATAACAGTGTAAGGAGACTGCTAATAATTTGTTGTTCTGTCCATTTATGCTAGACACAAGTAAGAAGTTTTCTTTGGAAAGAAAAAAGAAAAAGAGTAAGGTACACATTTCTCACCAGTTCAGCCAGTGTTGAAGTTTGTTACTTGTTTGCTTCTTTTCCCTCGTGATTTCAAAGCACCCTCGTTCCTTTTGAGTGTTAAATTTCCTAAAGCAGCAGCAAACCATACAATCAATATTGATGGTAGAAGAGAGGAATAATGGTCGTGGAGTGGTGGCATAAAATCTCAAGAATGCTGGATGGAGGAGGAGCAAGAGCAACTGATGATGAATAGAACAAGCCTTGAGAGTTGGAGATTATAGAAAGTCTCTGCATGCGCAAAGCAACTATAAGGGGACAAGATGATGGTTTAAATGCTAAGATATCTTTTAGAGTGGGATATGCCTTCTAATTATATGGACATAAATGCACATGACCACCTCCATAGGGTAGTAGTGAATGTGTGAACATGGTGTGCTACCTGTTTTGCAATTGCCAAAAGCAGTAACATTTGTCTTTTTTCTCTTTTCATTTTGCTCCTTTAATTCTAGGCAGTGTTTGTGGTTATAGTTTACGTTTCATTCTCCTTTAGTTCATGACATGAGTTATAAGCCTGCCTTCCCCATAAAAAATTTTTGAACTGCTTTCTGACAATTGTTAATGTTACTGTAATAAAACAGCCTTCAGCTGGCGGATATTTTAGATCTTTATTCTTCAATAATTATTCTTGTCCCTTTCCTATTAGAGAGCATGATTCATCAGGCTAATACTGCAATGACATTCATTTCTTTACATGTATGGATTTCCAATTACTGAATTCAAATTTTGATCTTTATATCCTTGTCTCTTCCAGGATCAGGTAGAAATTTCACATCAGCAAGCCTTGGTAAATGTAACTGCCCAGGCTGCTGAAGTTCAGTCACAGAATCTGTCATCTGGGCATCCAACTTCTTCATCAGAATTATCACCAATTTCATCGACCCCAAATCCCAAACTACGGGATCAAAAGTCATCATCAGTAGCAAAGGCTAATAGTGCATGCGTCCCAGATCCAGAATCAGAACAACAGAAGTCTTCCAATTCTAAAACTCCACCTTCTCTTCCTGTCATGAAGATGCCTTCTACTGATGGGTTCAATTGGCGAAAGTATGGCCAGAAGCAGGTGAAAAGTCCTCAGGGTTCCCGAAGTTACTACAAATGCACATATTCTGAGTGTCACGCTAAAAAGATTGAATGCTCTGATCTCTCTAACCGTGTTATTGAGATAATTTCTAAAGGTGAGCACAATCATGATCCACCTCGGAGAATAAATTGCACAAAGGAAAATCAGCTTGCATTATGTTCTGCACCTGCTACTACAGCCCAGCCAGAAACAAGGCTTACTGATTTAGATTCATCCGCTTCATCAAAAGAACTTGTAAGAGAAAAATCTGCTGTGCCTGAAACAAAAGGTCAGAACTCTAGTGCTTCTGCTGTGACTGCTGAAGTTGACATTAAGGAGGAGCACATTGATGAACCTGAGCCAAAAAGAAGGTAAGATGTTTTACTTTGGTTCTCAACATTTGGATTTCTTATTCAGATACTGTATTTTTTTAATATGACTTCTTTTACTGTGTCTATGTAACCAGAATGAAGAAAGCCAACTCAGCTTATTCAGCTTCGCCTAGTAAACCTGGAAAAAAACCTAAAATTGTCGTCCATGCAGCTGGTGATGTGGGAATTTCGGGAGATGGCTACAGGTGGCGCAAGTATGGCCAAAAAATGGTGAAGGGAAATCCTCATCCCAGGTGCATGTCCATTTTCAAACCTGACCTTTCAGTTTTATGTGATCACTTTTCCTACATACACGAGCACGAACTGTAAAAATTTGGCTTACCATTCCTGGGATCTTTCTTATGTTATAAATGCCTCGATCTATTGTTGCTTGTCAGTTGCTTGTTGCAGATACGAGTAGTTGTAGTCATTCAGGTTATGCCTTCCCTTCCTTGAAAAACAACTATTCATAGTTTTACAATGATAATATTGGCGATTTCCAATTTGAAACAGACTCTGCTGTTGCCTTAACTGACTATAGCCCCTTCAAGACTTTCATAATATTTATATCTTTTGTGAAGTTTACAGTTGGATTATAACCTGTTTTGAGCTGAAAACATTGTCATCTTTGGGTATGGGTTGGTGTTTGATTGTCAATCTGCATTTCTTTCAAGTTTTATATCAATGGGAAAGCTCTAAGTTTTAGATCGGCTTATAAATTGAGGGGGGACCCAAGCTTCACAAGAGATATATACATCTAAGTTTTTGACTAGTACCACTATTAATTCTTACTCAAGTTTGGTTTGGTCTTAGCTTTGGAACAACTTATTCTGCAAATATTTATTGGAAGTAGCAAAAATTAAATACATGTCTAAAACCAAACAAAATGACAACTAAGCTATAGTGTACACAATAGTTAATAAAAATTCCTTGATTGCATACTTCAATTGCTTAAGGAGATGTCTATTAAAACCACCTTCTTATAATTTCAATGGGTACGCAAAGCAAAGCAAGTTTGAGAACAGGACCAGGTATGTCTGTTTGCCTATATATATGCATGTCAAAACCACAATCCCTGTATATGCAATGCTGTGACCTTCCTTGTCTCACAAAAAGAAAAAGGATGTTACCCTGGACCCTTCTTCTTCCAATCAACAGCTCCATCTTGTCCGTGTTCTCTTTATTTCTTTTCTCATGTTTCTTTTTTCTATGTTTAATTATTATTTCTCTTTTTCCTTCTATTTTTGGGGGTGGACGGGAATTGGTACCATATTTCCTGTACCATGAACATAAAGCTGGCTGGACAAGGTCTTATGCCTTGTTTGATTTATTTATATATTGTGTGTTTTTGTGTCTGTTGGATGTGGGGGAATTGGATACAAAGGGATCTTGGGTCTCCCCTTATGGGGCAGTAATGAAGACTAGCAGAAGGCCACCACTAGTTGGATTTACATCCAACTGCTGAGTTTTTGTGAGCTTGAACTTGACTTATTAAAATCCCATTATTAAGAGGAAGCCAAAACAAACTGTAGAAGTTGTACTGCTTATATTATCTGTGCAATTCCACTTATAATATGTACATCTATTCTTAGGCTGTTTGAAAGGGTTACAATGGATTATGCACCATGAAGTGGTAAAACATTTGCTGGTGAGTTGTGAACGTATCTGGTGAAGGATTAGAAATCATGTGGTATGTCATTATTAGCTAGCACAAGATGAGTGTTAACAGCCATTATGAAAAGAGTATGAGCAATACAAAAGAAGCAGTTTATCGTGGAAGAGCTGTCCCAAAAAAAAAAAAAGAACAAAAAAAGACATTTGCAGTGGTAAAGGTCATTGGATAATGAAGTAAAGGTAGGCTAGTTTTATACCTGATTTGGGGTTAGGACATGCATCTTATTAAATTTCTGAAAAGCCATGAATTTAACTGGTTTTCTGGATAATTCTTTGTTAATCTTTGTTTTTCTTGTTCCTTTCATCTCTGTCTCACTTTCAACACAATGCTGAGATAATGAAGAAATTAAAAGATAATTAGAATTTTATTAGGAGATAGAAGTTTTTTGAGATTTTAATTAAAGTTTCCGTATTCTTTTCTGTATGGGCAAGCCTGAATGCATGTGGATGGTTTTGATGTGATGGACAAAACTGAGTTCCTGTTTAGTATTACCAAATTGCTGTTTCCTAATGTCACCATGCCTCTTTTGGGGCAATGATTTTATTCCCATGACTTTGCTATGTCTTTTTCTGAAGATCAATTTAATACATTTCTTAAAAGCAAATTCTGTCGAAGTGCCGACTACAACTAAACTGTCCTGTTTTCTCTATTGCATAATTGTGGTTATCATAGCATGTTTACAAAACACTTGGCCAGGGAAAATACTATTTAGCAGACCATCTATAGAATCCCTATGCTTCATTGGCTTTGAGAACCATTTTGGACATTCTCTGGTCCATTCCTTGACCAAATATAAGCACTTTAACATTTTTATGCTCTCTCTCTCTCTATGAAACTTACATGAACTTTTTCAGGAACTACTATAGATGCACTTCAGCTGGATGTCCAGTCAGGAAACACATTGAAAGGGCTGTTGATAACTCAAGTGCTGTCATAATAACATACAAGGGAGTGCACGATCACAATATGCCTGTACCTAAGAAGCGGCATGGGCCACCAAATGCTCCTCTCGTTGCTGCTGCTGCTCCTGCTTCTATGAACAATTTACAGCTGAAGAAACCTGAGGTAATCCCAAACCAGACATCCGCAACCCAATGGTCAGTGGACAAGGAAGGTGAATTAACAGCTGAGGCACTGGATGCTGGAGAGGAGAAGGCAATTGAATCAGCCCGAACTCTTTTGAGCATTGGATTTGAAATCAAGCAATGCTGAAAAAGACCAAGATTTCCTTGAGTTGTGGCGAGAACTAGGGTGGTTCAGTCTCTTTTCTTTGTCTTGCTAAAATTTGGAGTTTCTTTTTCTCCATTAAACGCATAAAGAGATAGACACGAAAAGGATCTCTTCAGTTCCTGCTACAACTGGAGAGGCTCCTGATCTTACTGAAAAGCCTGGCAGACGGCCGGAGAGCATGTTGCAATTCTTATTAGATGATGAGATGCGGGAAGAGGAGTGAAGTATCATTAGTCCGATATCTATATATATAAATTATTGCATACACAAGTTTGATTTTCTCCCCCTGTATGTTTCTTTTATACTTCTTGTAGTTTTGATGTAGGCTTGAGCAGACAGTTTGTGTATATCTGGTAAAGATGAGAAACTAGTTAGGTTGAACAGGTTGCTTTCATTTGGACTGCTGTAAAATTGGTTGGTATTGCTCTGCTCTTGTGCTGGTTGAAAGAGAGATGACAAACCCAAACACAGAGTGCTGCTTATTTTATTAGCACTAGTAGTATCTTATTGTGTTTGCCATCTTATTGAGGGAGGGCTAACCGACACAACTACAACAATTTTTTTCCCCTTAAAAATTCCATGTCCTCCTGCTAAGAAAAACATAACTTGCTTTCTAAGCTTGAAATAATTTTATTCTTGAAAGATTTAATAGGTTTAGACTATGTACGTCCTTTTTCACCGCAACTTTGAAATGAGCACGTAGTTAAATAAAATGATATTCTACTAGAAGGTTCATAACCCACATCACAAAAAATGGAAATTGCTCGCATCTTTTAATTGTCTTCATTCTATGATCAATTACATTTAATTTTACGAAAACCTGCAAGCCACAACCAAAAAGGTTATATTCATTTCACATCTTTTTATTTTAAATGTATAATAATTTTCAGTTTTTCTAAACTTTATAATATTTAAAGGATTAATCCAATAACTTTTTTAAATAACCCTTAGGACAGTAGACTTTTGCGGAGTCAAAAATGCTTTGGCAGTACTATAGACTTCGTAAGGTCCTGGTTTTCACGAATAGCCACTGACTCTGGTTCTTCTGGGTTCCTCTATACTTCAGAAGGAATCGGAGGGGCAATCGAGTAAGGGTCAATTTCTCGGCCTTACCTGAATCGAACCCTTCAGGTCCTCTCTGTGTATGTGATAATTGTTACGTCGCTGCCTTTTTCTGTGATTGCGTCTGGCTTTCTGATTATTTTTGGGCTAAATGTGGAGGAATGGATCATTCATTCATTTACTCCCTTTCTTTGTGTGTAACTGGTCTTTCCGTCTCTGCACGTTTGTCTTAGACTGAGAGTGTGTAGATCAATTCATTGTTACTAAGTTTCACCTCTTAAGTTGGCAAGGTTATCATTACGGTTGAGGATTGTGGTTTGTTACAGTACTGTGAATAGACGATTTTGGCTTATGGCCGGGTTATGCAGTTCAATCTCCCATAGCAGACCTGTGAGAGTTTCTGCAATAAAAGCATAAATATCCCAAGATTTTACATTTTATTTAAACGTCGTCTTATCGGTTATCAACATATATATATTTTTTTTCTTTGACGACACATTTATTGATTTTTATATTACATTCTTCTGTAACTTCATGAAGCATGAACCCGGTTACCTTTCCTACCTCGTCCCACTAAAGCTGTTGCGTGAGTTCCGATTTACTGATATATAAGTGCATAATTTTTACATTTCAGTGGAATATTGACTCATTGATACCAATTCTGCAAGTCCACTCTTCTATGTCACTGTGAAGTGCTGCAAAGGTCGATGGGCGTAGATCATGCACTTCAGCATGACGACAGCAGTGTTGCCAAAAACGAAATCAACAATACCATAATTGTAGCATTCCTCGTAGAACTAGCACTGAGGTGGACATTGACAGCGTCCTAATATCCCTCAAACCCACAACGGTAGAAATCATATACTCTCGAGCCCGAAGCCATAGCCTTCCAGAGGTGCTCCAGAACGTGATGCCCTAGGCGATGAATCCATTGTTGGCGACAGCTGCAAGGTCAAGAAACGTATCATTATTAGTCTTATGATGAATGAATCCAAAAATTTATTCTCATCTGTCATAAAAGAAAAAGAAAATCTTATTTCTTCACTTTTACAACCGTCTATTGACTTTTAAATTATAAACAATATTTAGCCTTTGCAGCCATCATCTTGTCACCTTTGTTATGGCAAATACCAAAAAACTACCACATCCTGTGATCCATGCTCAATTCCCACATTCCGGGGTAAAGAAGGTGAACAGTTATAGAATGTGCAGGTTCTATATTGTTTGGATTTGTATTTATAAGAATACTGAAAACAATCTCTTCTTGTCTCTCCTAATACCAGATTTGGGAAATAACCAAGATTTTTGAAGTCTGTTTTTCAAAAACAAAAAATCGAGCCTAAACCTCTAGACTTCATGCCATGTTTTAGTCTCTAATAAAGTAAGCTTGTAGGAAACCCAAACTGCTGCACCTAGACAAGACACAGGGCAGGAGTTGACTTTACCAATATTGATAATGACATGGACGACATCAAAATCCAGTGTCCTTGCCAACATTGTATCGCTCCATATTTTCAGCAATAACGGATTTGTTTTTCCTTTTTCAAGTCAAGGAGATGGATCTCCCATCTATCAGCAAAGTCCCTTCAGGAAAACTGATAATGAAATCCCAAATTACTTTCAAAATAAGCCAAGTAGATATGAATTTAGAAACCAAGTTAAACAGGTGAGAGGAAGCATCAAACAAGCCCCCAGCTAAATTTTTGAGTTACTGGAAAAATAAAAAAACAAGAACAAAAAAGAACTTCAGAATTGTATCTACAGAGAATTATGGTCTGTGAGTACTTGATGGATATGTCTGCATATTCTAACCAAAGAAAAGAAATCCATGATCCTGGAAAAAGCATACATACACAAGCAACCAAATCTGTAAGCATTTCCTGATCTTCACTAACCATCTATGATTTGTCGAGGAAGAAAAAGTCAAGAGAACCATTGACAGAACTATCTTTAAAATAAAATACACCCAACAATGAAAGCCTCATCAGCAACATCCAATTCTTGTTATTGGAGAAAACAAATAAAATAAACGAAGCTAATATTTGGAGCAATTATAGAGTACAGAGATATAGCTTAGTGCATAAGGTTCTTGCCACAGTGGGACCTTCCTGAATGTATGCACCTTACACCAGTATGAGAGTCTATTTACTATTCAAACCACCTTGGCATCTATGTCATGGTAGTGACCTTTACTATTATGCCAAAGCCAATTTTGATATGTGGCATTGTAAATTGTCTGCTTGCCATACTTGGTTATAAAAATTTTAATTGTTGCCCCTTGTAGTTTCTTCTAGTGGCCACATCAATCTTTATAAATATATAACCAAGTTCCGAAACAAAACTTTCTGACTATATCATATTCAACATGATACCTAAAAGCATTCCCCCACTTCCATACAGCATAGCACTGATCTGTAGAGTATTCTCTCCTACATAAGTAGAATTTAGAAAGCACTCGTTTTCACTCTCTTGACTCTTTCTATAAATTCCCATCACATATACCATATGGTAGTCAATTCATGTTGAAATATCTCATTTTTCATGAGACTTTCTGTGGTTTAGAGGTTCAAGGTTATCTGTGAAGATGAAGGTAAGCTGGCTAAGCAAGCTTCCATCACTAAGAGGATCTAACAAGAAATCAAGGGGAGCTAGCAGATACATTCTTTTAGAGACAACTGCCAATTTCATGCAATTCAATCCTGATAGTAACTAAATCCTTGCCCTGACAAAACATACCAGTATAGCTCGCAATAAAAATTTAACTAAAAAGGATAGCAAGTTAATAAAAGGAAAAACAGATGATGCATAAGAATTAGAACAATGTGATGCTAGTACCTCACTGAATTCTGTCATTTTAATGACTGCAGCTGTTCTCAAGTTTATGAAGAAGCTTCCTGTAAAAAAGATTATTTACAAGCTTCTTCTCTTGCAACTCCTTCAACAATCTCAATGCATTAGCTACCCTTTGTTGCCTGCAGATCTCATCAAGTACTGTCTGATATGTGATCAAATCAGCAGCCTCTGGTTTTGGATCATCTCTCTCAAATAGTTCAATGCCTCATCAACTTCTCCACCAAGAGCAAGAGAGTTCACAAGGGAATTATATGATTTACTACTTGGAACAAACCCTTTTTTCTTCATTTCATCACACAACTTTCTTGCATTCTTTGTTCTCCCTTGGGCACATAACCCATGAATCAAACAATCATAAGAGAAAGAATTAGGCATGCAGTTATAGACCACACCCATCTGATGAAATATTCTGAGGGCATCATTTATGTGAAGTGACAGCACGCACCCTTTAATCATGGAATTCAATGAAAAGATATCAGGTTCAACACCATCATTCACCATTTGCTTGAAGAGACACCTAATAGTCTCCATATTCATGCGATTAATATAAGTACTGCTTCCCCGACTAAGAAATGCAGAAAATAGAAGATTATAGGTTCTGATTGAAGGCCTACGTTCCACATTCTTGCAATTTTTCATGTGCTTAAATATATTAACAGCCTTAGTTAATTTCCTATCTTCTGTAAAGAAGTAGATTATTGTATTATACAAGGCCTCTGAACCAACATGGGGATCACTAAGTACTTCATTTACAATGTCTTCCATCTCTGGGTACAACTTTGCAACACCAAGCTTTTTTATTGTGATGTGGTAAGTAGAGACATTGTGCCTGAACCTAGGCTGTTGCAAAGCCCATTTGAATAGCTCTAAGCACACCAAAGGATCTTCCTGTAGAATTATGATATTACAAAGTTCTTTAGCAGTGAACCTTGCTGGAAGTTGGGAAACCACCTGCTGAAATTGGGCTTCATCGAGAACAGGTTTTGAAGCAAATTTCAATCTTTTGTTAATTCTTCACCTTAAAGATGTGGCAGGGGTTTTGAGGAATAATGATAATGATGAAATGGAAAGGGCACAAGTGTGCATAGACATACACTGGAAGTGTCTTTGACAATTGTGTCAATCTGGGCAGTAGCAAGAAGATGCATACACTCTGATGGGTGACCAATGATATTCAAATGGCTAGGTAAAGTAAAGCAGTTGGACTGAGAAGTTAAAAACAATGATGAATTTTTTGAAGCCCCTAGCAAAGGATAAATCACGGAATGATGGTCCAAAGAAGCAGCGTGGTTAAGACATCTTTTATTCAAGTAAAGACGAAACAGATGACCTCTGCCAACAGATGCCATGATGTCAGACAGAAATACTGAAGAGATTCAGATTGACTGGATGAGGCAAACAATGTGTTCACAGAGAACTCACTGCTTCCATATTCAAAACTATTTAATTTTCATCATCCAAAGCTGATTATACGGTTTAGTACCATCTGATGATATAAGAAGTATTGAAACGGCTGATCAAAGAGCAGAATTATAAGGCACTGACAGAACCAAATCAAACAAGAGCAAAGATCTGTACAATTAGCTCAGGTTTCATTTACTGTAATGACTCATCCTTGGGCAGGTTTTCACCCTAAATGGATCCTTCCATCAATGGCTTCCAGCTCCAAACTCCTAAAGTAAAAGAAGAATAAAGGAATAAGCTAGATGATCTTATACCAGAATATGCTAAGCACAAGCACAATCCATGTATAATTTACCATTATTATGTTTTTATCAACTGAAAAAAAGAAATCAGCATACAAAAGTAAACAAACGAAAATAAAAATAAATGAATGAATCGTGTCAAATGCTCATTATGCCCAAACATAACTCCAATATGAACCTAAGATTTTTGATATTTTAACCAATTAAATTAAGCTAGCACAATTAGCCTTTATAGTGTTTTCCAACCTCTTTCATCTGGCAAAGTTGGAGAGCATGGATTTTGTTGATTACTAAATGCAAATCCATTTTTTCAAGTACTTGTTTGGTTTGTTGGAATTGGTTTTAATTAATGGGGCATTTTTTGAGGCCAAGTTGAAAGTTGGTACATTGTTGGGTTTTGCATCTAGCTTGGATACATTAACCTAAGAAATTAAAACCAATTATGGGTGAATGTAAATTGATAAAGCATGAATGTTCATTGCAATAAGCAATGCTAGCACATGTATCTATGTACATGTATCCATGGATCAATGTATATACAATATGTACATTGTACGAGAAAGATTAACTTGGATTAATTAATCTTAAGATTTATCACCCAATTAATTGATGAATGTATATTCTGGATGAATGTATATTATGGATTTAATTCTCCATTAATCACTTTCATCTCCTCTCTCATTTTTGTTGGCCTACATAAAGGAGTCCTTGCCATCCTTCATGACACAACCTTGAGAAGAAATCTATCTCTCTCTTGTAGGAAGAAATTCTCTCCATTTTCCTTCATTTCCTAGAGCTTTAGGAAGTATTCTTGTAGAGAGAACTTGAGTTATATCCACCTTTGTAGACCAAGAAAGAAGTGCAACCTTTCGTGGTGGAGTTGTTGAAATCCTTGGAGGCCAATTGCATTGCAACCCTCTTGCACCAAGTGACAGGCCATTTCACCTCAAGGACAAAGGGTTGAATGTTTGGCAACAACTTATTTTATTACTTCATTTTAGTCTTCTAACAAGTAAGTGTTCTTATAATTTAAACATCTTGTTTTGATTAGTTCGAACAACATAACAGTTATCTTTTCTAACATGGTTTACGATCTGGGCCAATCAGGCCCGTTTTGAAACAATGTAGCAAACAGAGAAGCGTAGCAGAAACAGAAGCAGTAGCAGCTACCCCAGAAAAAGAGGGGAAGCAGAACGGCATGCAGGAAAGCAACGCAGAGGAGCAAAATAGTAAGAAACACAGACAAACGACGCACAAACGGAGAAGCAGAGCATTAAACAAAGAAGAAGCATCGGAGAAGCAGAGGAGCAGCACAGCATGCGTAGAAGCAACAAAGGAAACAAACGACACTGTAGCAATCGCAAAGAAGTAGAGGAAGAGGAGGAAGCAAGAAAGCTTACCAGCGTGAACGGCGTCGGCCGGTAACGCTCGTGGCCGGAGAGCGTCTGAAATCCCACGTAAAGCACAATACCCGAACTAGGACTCAAATGACCAGTATTCGAAAAGCATTTCAGACGAACATATTTGAAGAAATGGAAATGAAGCTAAACAAGTGGTTTGTACCTTTCAGATGAGATGAGCGAGTCTGCGTCGAAGAGTCGAACCGAGAGGACGATCGGGTGTGTCGCAATCGGAGGAGAAGTCAAGCGCTGCGAGAGGGGAGAAAGTCGATCGACCGATTGTCAATCGAAGAAGTAGAACAACAGCGGCGACAGCGAGGCAGCGATGGCTTAAATCTGCAGATTAGCGAGAGTAACAGGAAGATCAGGCGAGGGCAGTTCGGCGTTAAAGAAAACGGCCAAGGGTGCGCTTTTTGCACTCTGATCTCTAATGTCTCTGCACTTCTTCACGTAGGCCTCCAATTTTTGATCTTTTCAACTCAACCCCGTCAAAATCCCTAAAATTTTGATTTTATTTAATTAAGTTCTCGAGAGTAAGCCAGATTATTACAAGTTTTAGCAGATATAGGTGGAATAAGATGTCTTGGTATCTTAGAACTCCCGAGACGAGACTTTGATTATAAAAGAGGAGTAATGACACCAATGGCATCTGACCTTGGGTTCAGTACTGTTCAAATTAGTCCCTGAACTTGAAACATTTTCAATTTAGCCTCTGAATGTTTCACTTCCTTTTTTTACTTTTATACCGTGCTCTCTTTGGAATGAAATATTTTGGGATCATTACTTCTATTTATATTCAGTGTTTTATAAACCATAAACAGAAAAGTTATCCAAGTGTAAAAACTTGGTCATGCTTATAATGCATGGGATTATGGTTTTCTACCTAGAAAGAAAAGAGAATTTTTGTTTGAGCTTGTAGAATTCTAGTTCTTTTAAATCATTGATAAGTTTGCATATATATCTAGACAAAAATCATTTTAAGTAAGTCGTCGTGAAATTAAATAAGTATATCTAGTTTAAACCTAGATGTTTAAGCATTTTCTTTTCTAATCTTAAAAACACATGTTTTTAAGGTTAAAATATATTTTGGGATATAATGTTTTATAAACAACTAAGATATTTTTTTTATATATATTTATAAGACATATTTTTTAAATTACATTCTTTTTATACATTGTCTTTTATGCAAATGTTGACGTAAAAAAATTAGGACGTTGAAGGTTTAAACAAATAAAAGAATAAATTAAAGAACATATATAAGATTCAATTGACAAAATTAAAAAATAAAAAATCAAAGTGAAAATTGGTTAAAAGATCAAGGATTAAATTGAAAATAGTTTAAATTTTCATATATGTGTATATGTGTGTGTATTATATATGTATTAATATAATAGAATATGATATATATATATATATAAAATAAAATATGTACATCTATATATATAGTGTATATTATGTATAAAATATGAGAGAATAAATAAATTAATATAAATATGCATATACATAATATTGTATATAATAGAAATTTATTTTAATGTAAGTAAAGCAGTTTATTTTAGAAACTGAATATAACATTTATGATACGCTCTATTTTAGGAGTAAATGTTTCAATTTTTAGAATTTGTTTTCTAAAAATATCACTTAAAAGTACAATATTTTTAAATTTTTGATTTAAAAAAGAAACACGTGATTTTGAAGCTACAAAACAGCGGCGCTTAGCTTTTCAGATTGAGCTTGTAGAACCCAAATGCAAAAAACATAAAGGTTTCAGCTTTTCAGGAACCCAGATGTTTTGGATTATTGTTCAAGTCCATTATGTTGTTCCAGTGGGAAATCATTTGTAGGAATTGCTCTCTCCACCTCTGTTTCTCTCTTCACCATTATGCTTAAGCATAAGCAAGCATAAGGTATTAGGTCTTTTCCTGCTTTGTCTTTGGCGAATGTTTAGGCTTACTTTCTATACTCTCTGTTCTAGTAGTCCTCAATAGGTTAATTATTGCTCCTCGTCAGTTCCTGAGTTGCATGGGATATTCAAGTCCTTGCTTTCTCATTTAACAACAATCAAATAGTAACTTAAAGATATTTATGGGATAATGATATGTAATCATGCATGCAGCCTTGGCAGTTTTAACTTAAATGGATTTTTGGTTTATGTGCATTTAAGAGAAATCCCTAACAGTCCATAATGATTGATGCTTTGGCTTCCAAGATTGTCGCAAACCCAATGTAGTCGAGTTGGGTTTACCCGCTGTCGTTATTACTTTCTTGTAAGTGGTAGGAAAGTAATAAGCTTGTTTGAAAATGTCCACTGCTGCTTTGCTTGCAGATCAGAGATGTTGCACTACCTGTCAGCAGTGAAAACCAAAAGGCTTCAGCTCCTCACCAAGTTTGGCAAACAAACCCTAAGGCTCAACATTCTCAATCCAAACAATCCAAGAAACATGCCACTCCAGTCCACTACATCAGCTGGCATGGTATGTCATCATGCTCCCTGAACTCTTCATACATGTGGTCAGGAAGCAATTCTGTTTTTGTAGTTTAGTTACAAAAAGTCCTCCATGCATCCACTTAAGCATGGTTGTGGAACTGCCCCAGGAGTTACCATCTAATTATACCAAATATGCTTTGGAAAAGGCAAGAACTGTACAAGAAATTTGAAAGATTTGTTGGAAGTATATTCACTAGCCATATTAGTTGCTATTAGATGAGTAGGACTGAATTGGGTTGGGTTATCATTTCAAGAAAAGAGAAGTTAAATTTTAATTAAATGGGTCCTAATACTTCATACCACATCTCAAATTGGAAAAATGCTCAAGAATGGGAAGAGAAAGTTTGACAAAACATGCAAGAAGCAAAAACAGAGAACCCTAGACACTTGATGCGCAAGGCTGCCAACTGTATTTTTTGAAAGAGGTATGGTTACTGTTCAACATTTCTGTACGTGAAAATGTTTGAGGGGACCATACAATTAAACATAATTTGGAACTTTATTGCACCTCATAAGACCCTGAAGTTACATACATACCTAGAAGGGCTTAAAAG